GATGTCGGGCTCATAATTGCAAAAGACATTTACTAGAAATAGGTTTTATTTTTTAAGACAGGTTTCACGATATAAATATTTGTATTGTAGCACCGGCAAGACTGTCAAAGAATAAAAAAAAAAAAAAAAAAAAAAAGTTGTAGGCAAATTTGGCTGCAAAACAATTTAAGGGATAGGTAAAAACATGTATGTGATATAGACTATTTTGTTAGGTTTACTTTGTGGATAAATTAGCTGAAATGGTTAGTAAGTCCTAAAGTGGGTGTGAAATCTAATTGGGTAGATGCAAAAACCATGTTTGTATAATAAGTAATACCCAGGATTAGATATAACAAATGGTAGTTGTAATTAGAGAGTTTAAATGGGTACCTCCATAGTTGGAGTACAGATATGATAGATAGTGTAGAACCTTTAGGCAGACTACTTAAATTAGGCACCAATAGTACACATGTAGCTTAATGTACTCTCATTATAATTATATAAACATATGTTGTATTTAATAAAAAATCCTTTGGCCAGAGAGATCATCTTAACACCAAAAAAAAAAAAAAAAAAAAGTAATATTTTAATTTTAAAAGCTTTTAAATAGTTAAGTTTGAGGTTAGTAAAGTTATAAGAGGTTTTTTGATTATTGTTAAAGTATAGCCAAGAGGCATTCTAGTCAATCTAGTAAAAAAAATATAATTATTCCTGGGCATGGTATTGAGAAAACCATAGTGTAATATTGTATGCATTATGTATCTTTTTAAGATAGGGCTATTAACAAAATTGTTTTTTTATAATAAGTTAAAATAGAGGTTGTAAGAGTTAATATATATAGTTAAATAATAGTAAAAAAGAATTAGAATAATTATTAGCAAGAAGATTTGCGAGGTTGTTAAAGATATTATTAGAATGAGCCTGGACTTTATAAAGCGAAAGTTGGATATAGAAATGATGCAATAAATATGTAGAATAATAAAGTTTAATTGAGTATATCATATGCTAGAGCTATTTATTATGAACTCACGTGAATTGTTCTAAAAAATAGTGCGGTAACAAAAAAAGAGGCAGAAATAGGTAATTTGCGAAAATAGGGCGATCTACCTTATATATACGTATACTAGAATATGCGTCACTTGCCAACTTCAGAACTTGTATATATTAGAGCGATGAATTTTTACGGGTAATCATGGGTAGATCACACAAATATTGTCCAATTAAAACAAGCTTTCGCCATTTTACCCACGATAATCCGCTATTAAATCACACCTGGTCATATAAAAACTTTTAATCCGAAAAAACAATGCGCGTTATTGTAACAGGTGCCTCTGGTTTACTAGGTCGCGCTGTATACAAAACATTTCGTGAAGCTGGCCATGAAGGTAAGGTTTTGTGTTATACTCAGCAGCTTTTTATGTAAATTAATCTAGTTAATTTTTTGTAAAATACAGTAACTGGCCTTGCTAAAAGTCGTGTGAAAAATGGGTTGAGACAGGTTAGAATTTTTATGCTCCGTTAGTTCTGGTACTAATTGTTATATTAAATTATATAATTTATAAATAGTTTGATTTAACCGACAAAGATAAATTGGAATCTCTGATTCAAGAATTAGAACCTGACGGTTAGTAGAACTATTTCAAGTGCTTTCTTATTTACATCTTGCATTAATTATACAACTTAGTGATAATCAATACTGCCGCCGAGCGAAGACCTGACGTCGCAGAAAAAAATCGTGAAGCAACTTTCGAAGTATTCTTAATTCCAATTAGATTTATCTATTCTGCCATTTGAAATGTTTCACATACTTTCGGTACTTTTTATAGCTCAATGTCAACGTTCCAGCTCACATTGCCTCATTGTCCGAGGTCTACAATGTTTTACTCGTTCATATTTCCACAGATTATGTATTTGATGGAAAAAATCCTCCTTATGACGTGAACAATAAGCCAAATCCATTGAATTTTTATGGTAATTCCTTTAAAATCATCTTAATCTTCATTCCCTCACAATAACTATGGATAATCATTCTACACCAGGAGAAACCAAATACAAAAGTGAACTCGCTGTACAAAGCGCAAATCAACAAGCAGTGATTTTACGTGTGCCAGTTTGGTAATTAGAACTTTTCAAGATAATCTTTCATTTGTTTCTGCTTGGTTTAGTGATGCTTTTACAAATTTTTGGTCTTATTAGGTACGGTGAAGTGGAATTTCCAGGGGAATCTGCGGTCAATATCTTGGTGGATTCTGTTAAGGTTATTATCAACAATGGAATGGAAGCAAATATGTATATATATTATCATTGTTATTAAATATATTTTTCAAATAGAGTTCATCAAAAAATGTTGAGATGGATCACTACGCAATTAGATATCCTACTAATGGTAAAGAAAAAATAAGCAACCTCTCGTTTATGATAATTTATACATCTAAACCTCATGCATCTGTATTGTTTTTTTTATTTGCTACCTTAATAGTTCAGGATGTAGCGAGGGTTATTAAGGATATCTCTGGTAATTGCATATATAGCCTTGGTTATATTCTTTTTATATTAAATTTTCACAATTTCATAATAATGCTTCAACAATTTATATAATAGAAAAACATGTTGATCAACATATTCCAATTTCGGGAATTTTACACTTTAGTAGTAATGAAAACTTTACAAAATATGAAATGTGTGGTAAGCGATAATCTAATTTTATAATCCTTCTCCGAAATAAATCTTATTTACATATTAATAACCCTTAAATTTTTATTACTAGAAATTTTTTCAAAAGTTTTGCAAGTTCCAATTAATCATATTAAACCAATAGACCATGTCCCTGCAGCTGCAGCTGGTAAATAAGTTATTTGTTAAATTTAAATTGGTTTAGTTAAAAATTAATTTAAATCTTTTTTATTTGATTTTTCACAGTAAACCGTCCATATGATTGTCATTTATCAAATAATCAACTGATTAATCTAGAAATTAATATAAACTGTATTGGATTTGAAGATTGGTGGAAAAATTATTTAAATAACTAACTAACAAATTTTTTTTAAATAGGGTTAAGTTTTATTAAAATGTGGTTAATTTATTATTAAAATTAATTGTATTTTTAATATCGGTATATATTTTTGTTATATAAGGCCATTCCAATTAATTTTCTGTTTACATAACATAAAAGCTGCTTATAAGAGTGGGAAGGCATTAAAAAAAAAAAAAAAAAAAAATACAGTAATTTTATTGGTTGCAAAAAATGCAAAAAGTTAATATAGTGCAAGAAGCCTATACTCAACAGTTACACAAGATATTTTAATTTTTTAAATAGCTATAACTTTTTTTCTAAGAGTTTAAAAAAATCTAACTAGTAACTTTATAAAACTATATTAGCTCTACATATGTGCCAAATATCTTTTTAAAATTTTATTACTGTAAAGAGTTGATGCATTTTAAAAATTGAAATTTTATATATAAATTTATAAAAAAAAAAAAATTGCATTAACTCTTTATAGTGATGAGATTTTAAAAAGATATTTGGTATATATATAGAGCTAATATAACTTTATAAAATTACTGGTTAGATTTTTTTAAAACCTCTTAAAAAAAAAAGTTATAGCTATTTAAAAAATTAAAATACTTTGTATTAAAATTTCTAGGTTTAGTTTAGTTTAGATTCAGGTTTAATAAACCTGAACATGAGCTACAAATTTTGCAGATTATTGAACCTAAACTGAACTTTGAATTTATAAATCTAAACTGAACTTGAATTTAAAGTTTTGGTTTAGTTCAGGTTTAGTAGAGTTCCTATGTTTAATTTGGTCTCAGTTTGAGTTTGATCAAACTTCAAACTCAAACCAAACTCAAACCATGCATTTTATAAAATTCAAATTCAAACTCAAACCCAAACACAAAATATTCAAATTCAAACCAAACTCAAACATTATTATAAGTTTGGTCTGAGTTTGATTTGAAATTTGACAAACT